CTAAGATATTTTATGCCAGCAGATGATTTTGTGTAGGGAATATTATGAAGATTATTTCTGTAAAAAAATATTTGCCTTCAACAATCATTTTGTTTATAATAATTAATCTCAAACTTTAAGCAAAATTTTCGACCGCATATTTTTGCTGAAAATATTCAATGAAAGAATTGCTGTCTTTATGAGTGATCTATTTTTAGTCAAGGTCACCGTTTATCAGAACATTACATCAGTCAGATGTTTATATTTGTGTTGGGAAGGAATGGAAAACAGGTGTTGCGTAGACGCAACGTCAGCAAGAAACGGGTAGTCAATCTCCTCTTTCACTCATTCCTTTCAATGTTCTGGTTGTTTAAAAATGCCTAGAACGAGATATCTTACATTAGAAGAAGCCCTTCAAAGATTTTTTGATGAAGAAACATGATGATAATGTTAATAATGATCAGAATGAAACTGATATTGTTGTTGTTCCCCTAGAAATTGCAGAGGCTAGTGACAAAGAAGAAAGGAATGGCAATGTTTTAAATAATGATAATGATATTTTACCAAATGATGCTGCTGGGGAATTTGAAATTCACGTAAGAAGTAAGTTTCAGCCTTCTAAAAGCAGTTATAGTCATACTAAAAAGTTTAAAAAGCAGAAGACAGAGATCTTGAAGTGGATAAAAAAAGAACTGTTAGTTATGTCTCAGTAAAAACATGAAGAAAGAGATAGAAGAGATATTATAAAAGACAAAACACAAGGTAAAACTAGTGCACAGATTTTCGATTTTCTTTTTGGTTTAGACATTTACTCTCTTCTCGTTGAACAGACAAATATATACGCTCAGCAAAAAAAAAAAAAAAAAAAGCCCAGAATTTATTGCATCTAAAGCCTATACGAGAAGATTTATTGGAATATTATTGCTTACAGGGTATCATTCTTTACCTCAAGAAAAAAAGTATTGGTCTTTTGATAAGGACATTTCTGTTCCTGTTGTACGAGAATTATCACGTTTGCAGTACAGGAATATGAAGCAGAATTTGCATTTGATAATACTGATAAATTATATGAGGTGAGACCGTATCTAAACTTACTAAATATCACCACTTTTTACTACTGAAAATATAAAGTCTCTTTTAGATTCCAGACATGAGAATGTATCATTCCTTTTGCAAACTCCTATTGAGAGTGTAGAATGAGCCAGAAATAGATCACAACAGGAAGACCTAGTAAATTCAGCATTCAAAAACCATTGCATAGAGATGGTAGACATTTTATCATAAAGTCCGTTGATAACAAAAGTGTTGTAAAGAGTACCATAGCCAGACTGTTTATAGATGCAAAGTATGTAATGTAGCTTTACACCATGATTGTAATCAAGCTTTTCAGGTTTGAATCTTTCAAATGAAATAATCTGTATTTGTAATATAAATACAATGTATATTTTAATATTAAATTAATTGCAAGTAAAGTGATTTGCAGATTTATAAAACGTTATACAGCTAAAAAGTAATCCTGCGCTCCACTCAAAAGAAACATCACACGAGTACAATACTACTCACTAAACATCCGTAGTGTTATTCCGCTGACGTTGCACGAACGCAACATTCGCTTTTTCCACAGGTAAGAGCATTTTTTTAAATTTTCAATGTAAATTTGTGTTATAAATGCTTAATTTAATATTTGTTTATTATTTTCATGAGAAAAGAAACATTCCTTGTAGTTTTGGCAGTTAATGGGTTAACAGCATCCAAAAATTTCCTAAAATTGTCTGAACTCAAATCTGTATATCGGCATCGCCACATCTGAACCTTTCTTTCTACAAACCCGTTCAAATCCATCTAAACGTTTTTTACATTGGACTAGATGCATATCCTCACTAAATACGGGTCACTTAGAATGGCTACTAAGTAAACCTTCATTTACACACCAGTCAATTAACGCTCTTTTCCTCTTTCGTTCCAAATCATACAGTAACTTCAAATTAATCTTATTACATTCAGCCATTCTACTGTCTAAACAATAAAACCAACATACACACCCCAAAAGCGCTTAGAAAACATCCCATGATTCAAACCTTCCGAGAATCATGCACCCCATTACGTCACAATAGGGTTCCATAACATTCAACTACTCAGGCTCCCATGAATGAAACAACTTGGCGATAAATGAAACAACAACTTCGTCATAATACAAGGGTTACCTTAAAGTCTACTCTAACCAAACACTTTTTTAGCATGACCTTGCCTTTGTTGCAGTCTCTGAAATATTTCTACTTCTTGGAAAACTAGTAAACTTCCATTTAGCTGATGCCTGTTTGTTGTGTGGGTCAAAAAAGAAGTGCTACTTTTCATTATCTTTTGATTTTACTAAATAACTGATGGTCTTTGCTTTAACAGTGGTTTTGAGTTTATGAACTATTTTCATCCATAGAGCCAGATGATTTTTCCATCATTGTATTTAGGATGATGTGTTGGATGATATGGTGCATATTCAAATCCTGTATCAATAGTTGAAATGCAGTTCTTGTCACTGTAGTAATTTTTTGTATCATTTCTTGCCAGTTAACTTATACCAGGATTTCCTAACCGTTTCTTCCTTTTAAAACCTTACCTTTTTAACAGAATCATTTTCTTGGTACTTTTTTTGTTTCGCTGGCGCAAATCTCTCCAAGCAGACTTTATTAGTGACAACATAAAGTATACACATAAAAAATGTTAACAAATGTTAGTTCTAAGAATTTTTTATTTTGAAAGCATAGACATTTTAATATTTGTTTAAAATTCTGTAAAAAGCCAATAAATAAAGACAATAAATTTGTAAAAAAGACATTAATTTAAGAATTTACTATGATTTCATGGTTCAAAATCCTGATTCGCCGATTCGTATCATGTGACCCCAAGTGATTTCATCTCACGTAAACAACGCTACAAAATTCTAATTCTCTCAGTAATTATGTACATTAATTTCAAGTTATATCTTAATAAGGAATACAAGTTTAAATGCAAGAATTATTTCAATTCGTACGAATAGCTTTCAGAAATTATATAAAACTGCAGTGCTTTATTTTGCTAGTGCATTCTCATTAAAATTGAACCCTTGACTTTGCCTGTCTGATAAGAAATGGCTGCAGCTTGTTTTGAAAATGAAGCGTAAATGGTTACCAGCGAGGATATTCTGTTTGGCATCAGTTGTACCATTATCGGTAACTTTATCGCCTGCGCCAGCAAAACGGAAAAGTACTATTTTCTTCATTTACCCCTTGCATTTTTCTCTGTAATATACAACATAATCATACATGAACAATGTTTTGAAAAATATGATTTATTAGATGTATGTTTTATTACTTTTAGTATTATTATTTTTGATTTTAAAATGTAAACAAGTTTCCAGAAACGAAATCATAGATTCTGATTCCACAAAAGTTCGATTTTAATTAAGTTAATGGCTACGCGTGATGTATTGACATAATTTTTTTAATATTTGGAATAAAATAACTTAATTTTTAAATCACTTTGTTAAAAAATATTCAACCCGTTATTTTTTTTCTGTAATAAATTATTCACTTAATTAAGACACAATAACATGCCGAATAAATACTAATTCAGAAGTCAAACATCAAAAATCAGCGTTATTTGAAATTTTGAAAATATAACGCTGATATTTGCGGTTTGACTTCTGAATTAGTAAATTATTCACTTGTTTAAAACCTGGCTCTTTTAGATTAAAAGAGGAAAGAGTCAATAATGTTGTTCTGTAACTACTTTTGAAATGTTTTTCGTGAATGACATTTTGAAATGTTTTTCGTGAATGACATTTTCGAAAACTTAAGCATACATGTGTTATAAATAAGACTTGTGTTTAAACATTCCCTTCAATTCTATCAGTTCTTCTTGCATCATTATATCAAGATCAAATATATTGCAGTTCAGTGGTTGAGTGATATTAGCATATTTAAATTTTTAGTGTCTTGGAAGCAAAATTAAAATCATTTTACAACTGACTTGTGTCAAGCTCTGTGTTCTTCATATATGTATTTTTTTGGGGGGGGTTGTTTTCTTGTGTTCCTGCATTTTATCTTTTTTGATTGCACTTTCTGCATAAAAAATTAATATATTTAAAAAAAGTGTTATTGATTTAAAAAATATATTAAAAAATGTTTGTGCATTTTCCCCTTTATATTTATTTTATACAGTCTCTTCCTTACCACAATCAATAAACTTCCTTATTATATCAATAAACAGGTAATTATCAATCTTGCAATATTAATAATTTTGTAATCAGTGGGATCATTAGCATGCTAATCAATTGCCCATGAATGGCTCTTGACCCTCAGTTGACCCCTTGATCATCATTGACCCCCTTTAAAACTTCATCAATCCTCTTAAGGACCCCTGGCTTACTTGATAGTCACAACTTGCTAAATTTTTCTTAACTTTTTTATCACTGGTCAGCAACTTGTCAGAATTCATAGTCTTCCAGAATTCCATGTGACTTCCTAGCTGCCACATTTTCCTAAACAAGATAAAATACTTATTAGAACAAATGAGAGCATCATATTTAAGAAATGATATATTTTGTTGTCTCTGAATTCTGGTACATACTTTTTGTTTTGCCTTAAATGTTCTAAATGTTATTAAATAAATTAATTGTAAAAATTTGAGCAAATGTTTATCTAGCTAAAGGAAATTAAGCATAGTGCTAGCCAGACATCATGTAAGTGAAAAATTAATTTAAAAGTGATCACAAAAATATTTTTTTCTCTGAATGTTTATTTATTTATTTTTGGTAGGAAGAGTCCATTATTTCGATAACTTGAATTTGATTTTGATTTCCATCCTAAGTACTTGATGGTTTATTTATTTCATAGATTTTACTGGGTTAATTTTTTAATATTAAATTTAGTAATTAAATTTATTATTTTTATATGAGAATTTTATCTTCTGTTATCACATTAAGATTGTTAAATATGTTCATTTTATTTTGCATATTTTTATTTATTTTTTAAAAATGTTTTTAGACAATTGGAGCTGCTTTTGGTGCTAAGAAAATAGAAGTTAGTGGTGATGTGCTTACATTAGGTTTGTGGGTATGACTTTTATGTGTTGCATGTAGCACATTTTAGCTCATTTTTTGCCCCCCCCTTTTGCACATTTTAGCTCGTTGTTGTAAGCAAAAAATTATTCTTACATACAATTACAAGAATTACTAGGTAATCCCAATGGTATTGTAAAATGTATTTTATTACTGAGTTGTATCTTTATTAATACATTTATGTGATTTCCATATTATAAGAGTTTATCTATTGGGATTTTATTATAGGGTCATATTTTTAGTTTGAAAATTTTTTAGTATGAATATCAAGATGGCAGGGAAGGAATTTGCTCTCAAAACTAAATTAGTGATATGGTTGATGTATCTTGTGATTTGTCAGTATTGATTCATGCAGAATGGAATTAATCCTCACAAAGGCAGAATTTCATAACATTATTAGGGGAAAGAGTAATTGGGTTAAATAAAAAAGAGAGTTGGTTAAAATATGGTATCGGATAACCTACTATACAGCTCTTATTTCTGACTTACACTGGTCAATGTCAACATTCACCATGTACTAATGGTGAATGTTGAACATATAACAATATTATATTTTCTTCTCCATAATTCAGTCGTGAATAAATGCACTTGAGACTTGAAATAAAGAACATGAGAACCTAAAACACACAATACATTCAAAATGAGAAAGGAAAATAATAGAAGTTAAAAACTTACTTAATTATACAGTACGTTCTAAATGAGAAAATAAAATCACAGTAATAAAAAAACTTACTAAATTATGTGATTCAAATCTTATTTATTGCAACAACTTAAACTATTATGGCACTTTATGACCTCTCTTTTCGACTTTCAAGATTTTATTCTGTGAAAAAATTAAAAAAGATAGTAATATTATTTTCACAATGGAAGTACTAAATTAAAAATAATCAATGTAGGTCTCCTGCAGTTGAAGAAGTCCTTGTCAAACCAGCATTTTGACACATTAAATAGGAAACTAATAATAATCAATATCTCTTTTGTAATATAAAAATGAGAACTCTGCTATGAACAGGTTTTTTTTTTTTTTTTTTTTTTTTTTTTTTTTTTTAAGTTTGCAAAGAAACAATGATTTTTAATACTAATAGATTACAAAAGTACTATTTCATGAACAAACCCTCAGTCTAATAGCATTGTTACTTTATAGCATAATACAATAATAATGCATTATACTTCTGCTAATAAGCCCCGGAGCGGTAGAGTCACTGAATGCAGGTAGTTCGGTCCAGGGTTCGAATCCCGCGAACGGGCTAGCCACATTGGCGTTTTCGTGGCTTTCCCCATGTGTAACGCGTATACGAGCCAGTTTCCCTCAGAAAGTCCTGCCTTAGAAACCAGTTTTAAGTCAGAATAAAATTAAGCACACACTGGAAAAAAGTCTGAAAGTTTTCAGATTTTATATTACGCCCAAAGGGTCTTCTTTTTTTTTTTTTTTTTTTTTTTAAGTTTTGCATGTTACCTTTATTTATTAAATATCATCTTCTTCGCACTTAAAAACCATAAAATTCAATTCAGCAGCAATATCATATAATTTAAAAAGAGCATATCTTTAGAATTTCCGATACACAGTCTCACACGCTAGAGATGACAATGTTTTTTCTTTCCCCCCCCCGTACAGTGTTGCCGTTGCTCGTTTTGAAATCGTTGAGTTTCGTAATCAAACACTTGCTTTACAAAATATGAAATAGATAATAAAACAAATTTCCAGGTCCAAATTTGGGCCTTCAGATGCCTATATTAGGGTAGAGGATTACATTATTCAAAATTTGATGGTTGTTTTATCACAGTGTGAGAAACATTCATACATTTATGTAAATTCTTCATTATTTAATTTCTTTAAGTATAATACAGTGCAGTAATATTTGATGGCAACAATTTGAAAAGTGAAATGCCACAAAATGGCAAAACAAAATTAATAGCCCTTCTGAGCTAAGGCCCTTTGGGCTAAAAATTATTTTCATTATTTCAATATTTTTTCAGTTTTTCAGTAAACTATTTTATAGTTTTATTATTACCGTAATTTTGCGCGTATAGTCCGCGGACTATCTGTGTTTAAAATGCGAATTTTTGAAGCTGCGGACTATCCACCAGTGCGGATAATACGCTGGTTGTTCACGATTAAAATTGTTGAAATTTAAAAAACATGCTGTCGTGAACTGCCAATGATCAAATATAAAAAAAGCGCGAGATTCCAAGAAAACATTCGTGTGTATCGTATCGATAGTAAACCATAGAGCATAGTGCAGAACGAATGAGTAGTAGCAAGTAGAGCTCCTAAAATCCAGGCTGGCGCATCAAGCGATGCCGGGATATGAGCCAAAGAAAGTCTTGTATGAGCACTCACTTAGCGCAACCAGAGTCTTGTATCCAAGTGTCCTTCACACTGCTTTAGCGCAACTGCTGGGAGGGGGAAAAGTAGTTAATGCGTCAGCTCGGTTTTTAGGAGCCATAGTAGCAAGTACCTCGAGTACGAAAAAAAAGCGTGATTCGTTTACTTATAGCGTGGTTTGGCAACACCGAGTGAGTGGGGTTGAAGGTCACATTTCATTACCACTTATCACGAGGATAGCACGTTGCACATTTTGTTTTCGTATTTTATTTTGTTTTCTTTTTGTCTTTTATCTTCGATAACGTTGATGAAACATCGCCGGAGTTTTACTGCTGAGTTAAACTCAAGGTAGTTGAGAAAGCTGAAAAAGATGGAAATAGAGAAGCGAGCCGTTATTGGTTTAATCCTAGTATCCCGTGCACATGGGATTTGACTACTTTTGGCAACTTTATGATGAGCAGTGAAAACGGGACGTATACGATGAGTAGTTAATGGGTCATTCAAAGAAAATATATAATTAAACATAGTATATACTAAGTATATATACTATGTATGTATATACATATACTATGTGTGTATAGTATATATATAGACGTTCTTTGGATAATTTTTGGTGTTGGCGATAATTTTTAAAGTCGCGCCAAGGCTGCACCGTATACTAGGATTTTACCCCGTTATTTTGAAGTGGACGTGAAAGCGGTGAGAAATTGATGCAAACAAAAGGATGTGTTTAAAAAGCATGGGAATATTGCCGTATTAAAAAAACGTAATTTCGGGCATATAGTCCGCGGACTATCCGGTGGTGCGGACTATCTGACGATTTTTGAAATTTTTTTTATATAAAATCGTGTCTGCGGACTATACGTGCGAAATTACAGTAATTTTTTTTTTAATTTTTATTTTACAGTAATGGATTTTGTATAAGAACGAATCCTATTGTGTTCACATGTTTAAGTATTCACTTTATATTTAAAATAACTTATCTTGCTGTAATAAAAGAGCGCTTCGGACTATTTTTAACTGAAGAAGGTTATGTGTAGATAATCTATTACTTCTAATAGTACAATTATCATATAATTACAATATTACGAGGGTTGAACTTTAATAGTGGCAACTATTTATTTACAAGGAATACAAAAGTGATTCATGTCACCATGTTTTACAGTCCTTCAATATAGTCGCCAGCATTGTGTACAACCCGTTTCCAACGATGTGGAAGTCGCAGAATACCTGTAGCAGCGCCTGTTTTGTTAATAGTTTGAATGGACCGGTCTTACTGCCGCAAGAATCTCAGGAACAGTTTGGAAGCGAAGTGCCACGAAGTGGTTCCTTCACCTTAGGAATTAAGCCATAGTCACATGGGCTTAGATCTGGGGAGTATGGTGGATGGTAAAGCACTTCCCAGCCCCATCGCTTGAACAAATCAGTCACAGCTTGCGCTGCATGCGGCCAAGCATTGTCACGCAAAATGAGAGGAGCGTTCTGCAGAAAGTGTCGCCGTTTTTTTCTCAAAGCTGGTCGGAGATTGTGATCCAAAAATGAGCAGTAATACTGCGCAGTGACGGTCTGCTGTGGGGGAACGGTATGTGTTAGAATGACACCATCACAGTTGAACGATGAATCACCATAACTTTCACATTGCTGGGGTTCTGACGAAATTTCGAACGAATGTCGTGGTGACCTGTGATGACACCATTCGTTTGATTGGCGTTTCAGTTCTGGCTGGTACGATCGCGCCCAAGTCTCATCCAGCGTAATGATATGCCGTAAAAAAGCATCTCCTTTGCGCTCATAGCGCTCCAGGTGGGTTCTGGCAGCATTGTATCGTAGCCATTTCTGCATTTCCGTCAAGTGATGTGGAACCCATCGTGAAGCAATTTTTCTTATGGACAGGCATTCCTTCAGAATGTGCAACACAGTCATATGCGCTAATCCAGTTTGTCCAGCCAGCTGATGAACCGTTTGGCGGCAATCACTGTCCACTAGTGCGTCAACAGCTTGCACGTCTGCATCGCTGACACTCGGACGACCTGGCCGCAGCATGTCTGCCACGTTTTGGCGTCCTTCATTGAATGCTTTCACCCATCTTGCTATGGTTCTGTAAGGCAATGCAGATTCCCCGCAAGCCTCTTGAAGCCCTTGATGACACTGTCGTGCTGTATGACCTCTGGCACATTCAATTTTTATCCAACAACGTTGTTCTTGTTTTGAAAACATCCTTGACAACACTTACTTTAGACCGCGAGCTAATACAGGCCATATTTGATAAATATGCTCTTATACCCGCGTTTTGATGTGATTAAGAGGGGATGTCGTTTAAGTAATTTATTTCTGTTGGTTGATTTTTTCATAGTATATATTATAACTCAGAAATCGGTATTAGCAGGAAAAGTTATCTTGGTGGTCAAAGTTTTCAGGGTAATTGGAGTATCTAAAGACCATTATTTTTTGTTACTGGCATAAAGAAACTGTTACACAGCTGCTAGACATTCAATTCAGGATATCTCAACAGTGACAAGTATCTGAATAAGCAGACTTACTGCTTACTGACGGTTTCACAATTAGGGTCTTCATGTGACAAAAGATCACTGCTTTGCATCTTATTTTCTGTGCCTTTAGAAGACATTTAAAATTCTGACGTCTTTGGTATCATAGTCAATAAAGTGGCGATAACTGGGTGTGAAATATGATGCACTCAGATGAGTCTGGATTCAATTTAAGTTGTCATTCTAGACATACTTTCATGTAAGAAGACTCTTGAAGTATGTCCCTTTTTATAGTATATTCATGAAAGGCAAGTGTTTCCATAGTATCAGTTTACTTGCTTGAGAAGAAATGATTACACTGAACTTCACAACTAATGTAGAAATCTGATAACCATGCTGAGATATATCAACGGAATTCTTTATCCTCAAGTAATATTGTTTAGGTTTTCAGTGGCTGCTGAGAGATCCCAAGCTTCCTGTCCAGTAATTGCATAATGATTTCTTACACCAGCAAGTGAGAAATAAGAAATGTCAGATGCTGCAGGTACATTTTAGATTATGTTGATCATCTAAACAGTTAACCATTCTCATGCTTAAACAGTAGTTCCAAATTCTTGAGATCATGCTTTGGAAAATATTTATCTGTGTGAAGATGTCAACTATGCTTAACCATCTTGAGCTTGCAGACCATTCACTACTTCTAGCCTTTATCTTAACATTGTCTTTCATATAAGATTAATGCTATACAGTCAAAAGTTGTTAATCCGGACTTGTCGGGACTTCGGCGATTCCGGATTATCGATTTTTCCGGAGATAGATCATCAGTTTAAATCTCGTAAGATGGCTTGCAGAAATTCTAAAATTAAAAATATGAAACCATAATTTATGAAATAAAGAACAATTATTATCTAAAGGGTATCAAAATTTACAAAAAAAAAAGCTTAATATTTATTTGTTTACTTTATTAAACATTTCTTTCAATATAAATTGTTTAAGTTGCTTCGTTTTATGTGATAATACTTTCTCTTTAATTCTATAAACAGACATAATTTCTTGTTCAGTTACAAAGTTCCGCTGTTCAAGTCCTGTAATTGCTGTGCCAAGAATACCGACTAACTTGTCTGTCAATCAAAATTTTTTTGTTTTCACTAACCTCTCTGTCACCTTCTTCATGCCTTTATCCATTTTCTGCAGCAATTCCACTTTTTGTTTGATGGACATGAAAACATTTACTTTCATTTGTAGATCCTTTGGGAGCTCCAGCATCGGAAATTCTGTTTGACATAATTGAAAGTTAAAGTTTACTTTTATAAAATTGCTCTTACAGTCTGCAAAAAATAATAAGCCGCATCCAATTCGAATATTAAGGAATAACGCAATCATCAACATTAACTGAAATAGATAATTAGATAATTTTAGTTTATACCGTTCGTTATACATTAATTGTGCACGCGAAAACGTATTCTGTGCTTGCGCACAGGCATATTCGCAGTCGTAAAGGTCTTACGCGCACGCGTAAACGCCTATGCGCATGTGTCAATGCGGCGCATGCGCAGAAAGTTTTTAGCTTTGAGGTCCGGATTATGGGTGTCCGAATTAACGACTTTTGACTGTATTACTACTTTAAAATTACAATATTTTAATCAAGAGAAATTAACAACATTGTATATGTTTCCTTTCACAATTTGCTCAGTTTCACCTTATTTGCATATGATTCCTTCCTGTACTTGCACAGCAGTAGGTTATTAATGTTTATTCAGTAGCCTACAATTACCACAAATAAATACTTTTGCAATTGGGCTTTAATTTTCACATCAGTATCACTTTTATAATACTGCTTTAATTTTAAAAAGCAACATTTTTTATAAAACATAGTCTTTAACCATTTATGAAGCGGACGAAAACAATTTATATTTCAGATTTTGATCATTTAGTAATTGCATATGAAGAAAATCTAAATTTTGTTTTAAAACTGAGTGGTTAATCAATGAAACATATAATCTTGTTGGTAATGTTTGCACCAATATTACTTATATTGGATTGCAATCTGTAATTGCTATTTTTTTAGAAATTCAGTGCAGTAAATTAGATCTGTTATCATTATTCCAGAAAAATAACTTTAAAAATCGATTGGTTTTGGAATTTAATAGCTTTTTTTATATGTTACATGTTTTATGTATGTATTAAGCACTATTAATTGAAACACTTTTATTTAGGATACTGCTGGTAGTGAGAGATATCAGTCAATTAGCAGAATATATTATCGAAGCTCTCATGCAGCAGTTGTATGTTACGATTTAACTGATGCAGAAAGTTTTGAAAAAGCCAAATTTTGGATATCAGAGTTGAAGCAAGTTGAAGAAGTATGGAATTTTGCATTAAAAGTTTCAGATTTTATTTCATTACCTGAGACATATGTCTGACACAAGAAATACTAAATATTGTCTGTATAAATGGTAGATTTATGCATTAACAAATAATTAAACTTTCATTTTAAAGGTCTGAATTATTCTGTTTGATGAATATTTATTAATCTATAAAATGAAAAGGTAAGGTCTGCATGCTAGATCAGTGACTCAAATTGTTATCTACTATAACTGATATTATTAAAAGGTCTACAAGTTAATAGTTTCACGAGTGATTTTGCAATCTAAAATTTGTTTTAATTTCTTGTTATAAATATATCATATAAGTTAATGATTAAAATATGTGGAAACAAACGCTGTGCTGGATGTATCACTAGCCTAGGGTCATACTCAGTGCCGCAAGGTGCAAGGGAGGGCACCTGTTCCCAGGCGCAGCAACCAGGGAGAGCCAAATTGATGTTATGAAATTTCAAAATGAAATGTTTTCTATTCTTGGCAAACAGGAGGGCATGCAAAATCTTCAGCTGTCTCTGGATGCTGAAAACCCTAGTTATGGCTTGGGTCATACCAAGAAATAAACAGTTGTTTTTCTGAGAGTTTTTTAATTTCCATTGGCAAGGTACTTGACATATACAAGAACATGTAAAACAGATAATGTAAGATCGTAGGCAGAAAAGAATACGGTAGTGAAAGTCATTGACCCATGCACAGTCTCGCAAACCAATATCACTCAATCTTAGGTTTTCCACAAAATAGCAGTGCACTGCATAAGATGGTCTCTATCCATAATACCATTGCTGCACAGTGGGCAGATTGAGCTTGGCAGGATACCAGTGCAAAATAGGTGCGCTACTAAGCTATCATGTTCAGTAATAAGTAGCAAGATCACCACAGCTGTAGAGCAAAGCCAGTCAGGAATATTGTCATGAATATTTCTTATTCATCTCTTTGTAAAATTTCTACACTGTAAGTCTTGACGACAAATGAAGGCAGAGATGTATTTAATAATACATTTAGCAGTTAAAAATCTCTCTTAATCATCTGAGGGACCATGCATCCCTTTTTTAGCTAATAAGCTTTTTCGTTACCATCCACGAAATCCATCCCCGAGATCTGTTGGAGGGTAACATAGATCTTTTTCATCTTAAGCTATTGCAAATAATTTCTGCATTGTAATACATCTGAAAATGGAACCACAATATCAAAAGCCTGAATCAGGAGCCAAAGCCTGAATAGCTGCTTTCGAGTCAGACAGTATCACAATCTTAACAAAAATCAAATTTTTAATCAAAAGTTGTAAACCTACTTTAATAGCAGCTATCTCACCATCAAAAGCAGTTCCAATGTGTCCGATAGGAATATAAAGCGTCAATAAATCACAAAATACTCACGCACCAACATTCGGTGAGTCGACTGAACATGATCCATCGATATATTCTCTTAGCCAGTCAGATCTCGGATACAAAGTTCTAGAGCAGCTCACAATCAACGGTTCTGACAAACTGTTGATTGTGAGCTGCTAATTGCTCATGTTAATGCTGTGCTTAGCTAACCTTAATTCCTCCACTGAGATGATGCTGGTGACAGTAGGGGCACTGATGACAATAACTGCTTTTTTCTCCTACAGAACTGCTACTGTCAGCTTCATCTGATAGTTGATTGTATATGCATGAGGCTGTGCACATAATATTTTTCGTGTGCATATTAGATGTCTGCTAACTTGGATAGTTTGATTTACACTTTGGTTATACTAAGTTAGGTGTGTTCTAATGGTGACGTAGTTAAGCAAAAACCTTATCACTTGCATTCAGAATGGAAAATAGATTACTTCTGTACCTCTAGATGATAAATGTGTATGTTTACTGTGCTGTGTAAGTGTATCATTTGGGAAGGAAGGAAACATTGAACGTAATTCCTAAACCATTCACACAGGCATTGAAAGGGATTTCCCATTGAATTCTGATTTAAGGAAAGAAAAGGTAAGACAGCTAAAATCTGAACTGAATGCTAAATGATAAACTTATTTAACCCTCTTGCTGCGCATCCCGCGATTTCCACGGGCAATGTAAAAGTAGCAAAATTTGCACAACCCGCGAATTCCGCGTGATGAATTTTTGCCATCTATTTAACTGTGCAACCCGCTGTTTCCCCGTTCAAGGTTTCCTTTCAGCTTTTCTGTGATGTTTAATTGTTTATGTAGATGGGGGCTAACCGATGGCATTAGTTGTCCACATTTCTGCCAAATATACAAGAATAGGTAATGTAGCATTTTGCGCGCGCTTTTCAGAGCTAAAAAATGTCTGGCAGGAAGTGTTTCGAAAGTGATAGTACCTATATTCCTGACGATATTTCCGACACTGATAGTAGTTCTGACTCTGATTTCAAGTATACTGAAGATAGTTATAGTGAAACTGATGAGAATTTCTCAGATTGCTCTGCAGATAATGATGAATCTGAAAATTCAGTTTCTATTGAAAACACTTGACAGTGGTGCAAAACTGATATGCAAAATATTACATTATGCAAATATTTTCATTAGTATATATGTTTTACCTTTGTATTTTATAAAATAAATCATAATCTAACCAACATTAATTTTCAAAATTTTCCTTTTATATCATTATTTTTCAATTTCGGTATTCTGACAACCTTTTTATGATCTAATTCTATATTGAAAAAAAAAAAAAAAAAAAAACTCTTTTATAAAAAACTAAAAGCTCCAGTTCAGCTGCAGGATTTTGCTTTTCTCACTGATATCACTGAAAAGTTAAATATACTTAAGTTTCAGCTACAAACCCTTGACAAGCAAGGGCCTTGAGTGCCTCCTTACAGCAGCAAACAAGATGTTGAAATTATATCAGATTTCGAGAAATGAATTCAGCAAATGTTTCCAAGATTTTGAAAGGATTTCAACTGTTGCACAGTTGGTCAAATCGCCTTTTATAGAGATTGATGCTGAGTTCTTTACTTCTGTCATGCAGCATTTTCATTTTCAAGAAGATAGTGCTGCAGTGGAGTTGGAACTGATTGATTTTCAAAATGATTTATCTGTTAAATTGCTTTCTTCAAGGTCGGAAAATATTTGGCCTCTTGTTTCTAAAGAAAATACCCAGGTTTGTCTCAAAGTGAAGGCTATGTTCAGCTCTATGTAACTGCATGAGATTTTTTTTTTCCAGTATGAAATTTGTTAAAAATAAATACAAAAACAGACTCGCGGATGAACACTTGGACAACTGTATTCGAATAGCAGCCACTACCTACTCTCCCAACATTACAAAACTTGTTGATGACAGAAAAGAGTTCCATCCGTCGCATTAAAGTTAATAAGTCTGATAGAAATATTTGTTATTTATTGCTAACTGCAGCGGCCGAGCGGTAAAGTCGCTGAACACCGGTAGTTCGGTCCGAGGTTCGAATCCCGCGAACGGGCTGCCTGCATGGGCGTTTTCGTGGTTTTCTCCATGTGTAACGTGTATACGAGCCAGTTTCCCTTAGAAAGTCCTCCACGAAAGGCATCCTTCCCCTTAGGCAGATAGCCCTCGAGGCTTTGCCATAATCACACATACACACCATACACCATATTGCTAACTGCACTTCAGTTTCTACTTGGTACAGTTCATTTGTACATGTACCAAGTAGAAACATCATCCAAGTGTGTCATCATGTACAGTTCATTTTCAGTTTCTTTTTGTTATATACAGTTTAGTTTAAATTGATTTCATATTTACTAAAAATGTAAGTTAATAGGCAATAAACAAATGCAAGATTTTTAAAAAAGAGTTGGTAGTTTTTTTTATGGTAGCTCTCAGCAGGATTTATGAATGTACTGTAGCTCAGAAGCTTCATAAGTTTGGTGACCACTGTTCTAGAGTCTCCAGCATCATATAGCACAAGATTTCAGAAGGATAATCTTTTTTATAGGCTGGGAGAATAAAGTTCCAAGCATGTATTTACTGCTTCATAATCACAAAGATTAGCCGGCTGCACTAGGTCTTGTATCTCACCATCAAGACTGAAGGTAGGCTGCTGTTCCAAGACTCTGAATAAAACCAAGTAGGGTCTTTAAATTCCTTGGTCTACATTGATATTATCTCCAAAAAGGATCACCAGTTCTTATTAACTTTTCATATATTATAGCTGCCATCTCATTTATCAGAGTTTCAGTAGGTTTATTCTCTATCAAAAGCAACATTGCATCAGTCTGTGTGGTTCAGTTAACAGTTCTGGTAATTAAATGGAGAGCCTGGTTCTGAAAAGTCTCTAGTTTTCTCAAGGCTTACTTAAAAATAGTTATAAGTGTTGTTTTTAGCTGAGCGAGCACATCCCCATAGATAACCAGCGAGACGCTTAACCTTTTGAAGACGGAATGGCCATTATAGTGGCCATAGAGTCCTCTCTTTGAAAAGGTGGGGTTGTCCACTTTAGTGGCCATGTCTTTTTCCCCCATTTTCCAGGCTGAAAAGTAGGGTGAAATGTCAAATTTGACATCCCTAGGGTTTTAACCACTTATCTCTTTCAAAGATCTTCCTTTTGCAACATAGAATCCATTAAACTACACACAAGAATCTTTGTTGTAAATAGGAGGTGATTTCTTAAAGGGGGGAAAGAATTTGGTTCAAGATTCCCCGTCCTTTGGTAGCTTTTACTGCTACCAAAGCCCCGGCCTCAAAAGGTTAAGGAGAGGTAGTCTTTTTTGTAATGCTTTGGACATATATTCAGTTCATCTTTATTGTCAAGCTCAACCACAAGATAGGCAAACCTGTCAGATATATTTAAATGATGTTTTAAGAACTAAATATCAGATTAAAACTTTGTATGTGCAAGAGAGAAGGTCTGAACAACAGTCTTATCAAGATTAATAACAATGTTATTAGTACTCTACCAGTTTTCTTAAGTTCTAAGAGCAGCACTTATGGTTTCCAGTTTCCAAAGCAGACTATGCAGAACTGCTGGCCAGTAAAAGAGCGAATCAATCTCAACATTTTATTTCCAACGCCAAAATCTGAGCTTAAGAAGAATTATCTCCTTCCGCACCCTATCATATGCTGATCTGAAATCGACATAAACAGTTGTCCAAACATTTCTAGCATGAACAGCATCCTTCATGACTTGAACAAAATGGGCATACTTGGTGTAATCCAGCCTGTTCTTATCTTAATACACCAAAATGCTTCAGATACCAATTTAATCTTATGTGAACCATCCTCTCCATCACCTTCCTCATCACACATGCAAGTGAAATAGTTTTATAATTTGACAATTATCTGTAACTTAGAAATAGTAAATATCTTGATATTATAGTTTTACACAGTTTATTAAATAAATGTATTTAGCTCAGTGGCATCCCATCAGTGGACTTGAAAGACTAGGCTAATTCCTTAATGTATTATGCATTAACTATTTCAAATATATTTTTCTGAACATTGAAAAGCATTAAAATGAACATGATTTTACTTTTTCTGATACTGCACCAATTAAGCATAGTCTTGTTTTCGTGCACAGTAAGAGGAGCTTGAATTGCATCGCCTGTGCATGAGGAAGGGCTATCTTGCTTTCAATTGTTCCCATAGTCGCTGTAGCATAGTAGCTGTTAACTACTGGTGGTTGATCATAAAAAAATTTAGTTTTTCTTTGATTCTATAAAGTGAAATGAATTCAATTCTGAAGTACTATGTTTCCATTCATGTTCATGAAAACTTTTATGGTATGTGAAGGAAATCAAAATAAATTGTATTAATCCTAAGTTTAAATTATGGAGAAGGAAGCAATATGAAACGCTAGCCCTCACATGAGATCATTATGGAGTAAGTTGCCTCTGAAGCTGGTTTAGGACAATTTGCAAGTGTCACTATCCTGTGGTCTTGATTACTTGTCTATCGTGTTTTCTTTTCTTTTTTTTTTCTTTTTTTTTTTTTTAATAGTTTAATTCACAAAAAGATGCAAAAATAGTGACAAAAGGTAGATTTTATACCTCATGCTCTCATTTGTATAAGCGTCAAGTATTATACCTATTATTCTAAAGTGGAATATTATGTAATTTCAAAATGATTAATGATTTGCAAATCAAGAGCTAATGTGTTTTGCTAACCTTGTTCTCTTTTTGATATGAAGTGATTTTTAACGAATTATTTATTTTTATGATCATATATAAAAAAATATTTTGTTATGGTGTGATCACTTTGATTTCCTCCGTTTGTCTGATTTTCATAAATTTATCAGACATAATAAACATTATTGTACTCATTAGTCTTCAAATTATATCATTAGTCTTCATATTCAAAATATAATAAACTATAACATAACGTCTTCCAAAAATGACCAGTATTTTTTAGAATGTTAATAAACAGTAGTACTGAATTTTACCATTGTAAGATGACTACCACGTTTGTCTGTGCACATCATCTTAGAGAGGATTAAAGATTTTCTTCATACTTAGTCTCTTTCTGTGAAAATCATGCCATGTCACTGGTACTGATGTAGTTCTTAGTATAGTAGGTAGACACGTTAGCAGAATAGTATTTATTATAATGTTGTTGAAGTCATCTTCAGCAGACTGGAAATGTCTTATAAATTCTTGTTGAGTTTATTCATGTCTATGTAAGTATTTTTTTTTTTTTATTTTGGTAATTAGTATATAGTCATTAACGTTGTTCCCCCTTCTTTTGAGCATAATCTTGGAAAACCAATCATACCCTTGCTGGAATTCAAACTCAAATCCTTCCAATGATGCATTATATATGCTGACTGTTACCATTGGCATGTAGAAGAGAAATACTTAAAGGTTGACTTGATAAGCAGCAATACCCATTTGGGCAAATCAAACTGGTCTTTAGTTATAGTGTATACTCTAGTTTAGACACTACTATAAAGTGATCTGTTTAGTGAGAAGGAATTTAAAAGAGAAAAAAAAAAATTCTTTGCCAAAAATCAAACTAAGATATTGAATTTCCTATTAGATTTACTTACTAATACAATCCAAGGACATGTAGGAAGAATGCTTTTCATTCCTTACAAAGTCACTGGATTAATTTTTATGCCTGATATTGCCATCAGAAACAATCTGTTGTATCTCTGGAAAGGTAAATGTTGATGCAAAATCCTACATCATTATTAATATGCAATACTTTTGGTCTACTATTTTTGGTACTTTTGGTGTGGTAATAATCGTATGTGATTAAATATTGTTGTAATCTTAAAAATTTATATTCTACTAGTCTAGTAAAATGAGTTTCATTCATATTTTTAAGCTAATTTTGTGCCAAAAGGATTTCAAAGTGTTTTGTAATCGAAACTTGAGCCATCGGTATACAATGCTAACAATCCAGTCAATATAACCAAAACATTCTGATGAGCTTCTTTTTGCTGCTTTTTTTAATCTCTATGTAATTGAGATTGGATGTATGTTTGAGATTGTCATTGTTTTGTAGATGAAACCCAGAGTACCAAAACCAGTTGTGAAATTACTCCACTTAATATTGTTGTAACAGTTTTGTAAAATTTTTCCTTGTTTTTAATTAAGATAGGCATTGAGTTCCAAAAATCGTTAAACTATGACTGAATTTTCGGTATGATTTTAATAATAAGCATCATTTTGCCCATTTATTGAGTAATCATCAAAGAAAGCTGGTATTTATTGTCCGAAAATATAAATTTCAGTTCATTAGTGTGAATGGTTTTTCTCAGTAATTAATATTCACTTTTTGTATAATCTACTTATATTCATTGTGTTTGTATGTCCAGGTTTTTAACTCATACAGAATCTTTATTTGCTTTTAAAAACTGTAACCATGAAAATGAATACAGTTCGTACATAAATGTAAAATAGGTCTGAAAGCTATGTAACTAAATTCTGTATCTGATGCTGTTTGCATTTGGATACTAGATTAATGCACAGAAATGCATTTCATTAAACTTGATAAGTATTATTTTATTAATACTTCTACTAACTATCTTAGTTTTAGTTTTTAAACAAACAAAAAAAAAAAAAAAAAAAAAAGAAAAGAAAAGAAAAGAAAAAGGAAATAATAATTATTATTATTATTGTCATTTTACCCAACTGTTAAAAAGTGAATTCTGTCATTTGACTCTCTGTTAATGGTAATTTACTCCTTTTAAGTAATGGCTACTTGTTTTAAACTAAATTCTGTTTTTTAACTGTATATTAAGTACATTTTCTTTATCTTTTAATTTCAGAAATGTAAAATATACTTATGTGGAACAAAGAAGGATTTAATAGCAAATGATCGTAAGCAAAGGGCCATTGATTATCATAATTTAACAGATTATGCTGATGAGGTACATGCAGAAGTATTTGAAACATCTAGTAAAACAGGAGAAGGAGTGTGTAAGTTTTAAATGTATTTCCATCTTATTAAATTTTATTGAATATATCTTTGTCCACCTAATTTAATAATATATCTTTGTCCACCTAATTTTATACCAATAAGAAGTAATTGCTTCGTGTAGTTTTAATAGAGTAAAAATTATATGTATATATGTGTGTGTGTGTATGCTGCTAATTTTGTGTATACATATTTTTTTTTTTTAGATTTATTTGAAACACTAATGTGTTGTGTGTTTAGACCAGTGCTTTCCAAACTTTTTAGCATGACATGTAGCAGCTGCATACCCCATTGCAACTATATGTGTATGAAGCATGTATATACTTGCTGCAGAGAAGAAAAGGAAAATTTTTCATGTTAATAATAATTAACTATAAGCTCCTGGAGTGCCATCAGTCATTTAGAAGCAGTTCAAGTGTAGTCCATTATAGTAGAAGTGTTAAGAGTTCTCAAAGTGTCATTTCCAGACTAAGGAATTGGTGTTTGGAAACTGGAAATGTTCACCAAACATCAGGATCACTTTCTTGCAACAGCACCTTCAGAGGGCTGCTGGTAACAGAGTTTTGACTCATATTGTTTGAAACCAATTCCAGCATGTAGGTTTATATGCTCGCAGACCTATGGTTTGTGTTTCATTGATACAGGTGCCCACAGAAGGTGGTAGCATCTCGTATGGGGACGAGATAAACAGAGCGATCAGTCCTTCACACACGAGTCCCACTTTAGTGTACAACCTAACAACTGGTGGATTCTCACCTGGAGAGAGCATGGTACACGGACTGCTCCTGCATTTGTGCATGAAAGTGTCTGATTGGCAGAGGTCGAGTGATGTTCTTGGTCAATAGTTATGTCAGTGGCTGCACCAGCCTGCACATTATCAGGAATAGAGCCCTAATGACGACTCAGCAATGTAGGGATGAGATCCTGAGACGTATTGTGGTCCTTTATACTGCAGGAATCAGGAATGAATTCATTCTCATAGATGATAACACCAGCTCATGTTGTATTCAGCTAATAGATTATTTCTTTTTTGATGGTGGAATCCTTTGAATGGATTAGCCAGCATGTTTCTCAGATATGAACCCAATTGAGCATATTTGGAACATTGTTGGGAGGGTTGCTAGTTGTGTATCATCCCCAAAAACAGTTCAGCAGTTTGAAAGCTTTCTTCTACTGGAGTGGGAGACAGTACCTCAGTCCCTCATTGATTCTATTCCTCGTTGGTGTGCAACATTGCTTTTGGTCAGGGGCAACCATACCCCTTTCTGAAACTCATCTGTATCTAAGAAATCACTTTTTTTTTAGTTTGTTTGTATAATATGCATGAATTGAGCATTTTTTTTATCGACAAATATTGTCAATAAAATTTAATTTTTCCTTTTGTATTTATATCTTGCAGCACCTATACATCAAACATCAAAATATTTTCTTATGTGTATCCAAAATCATAATGTCCCCTAATTGTTTTGAGCAGTGTATATATTCCTAATTTAATATCTAATACTTATGTAAATAGTATAATTTTGAATAAAATTCTCTATTTGTTACTTGTTCTACTCTACTACTACAATGTTCTTTACTTGTTAAATTTGGCTTTCTTTCTTAGATATTAAAAGAAATTATCCAACTGTGTTTGGTTATTTTAACCTTTTTTATAATAAGCATTCATGTAATTTATATATTTTGGAAAAATTACTGATGATTATCTATTTTTCCAGATGAGCTGTTTTACAGAATAGCTGAAAATTTTTGGAGAGAGAAAATAGTCACTGAAAATGTGGGAAATGGTGAGTTATAAAAAAGAATAGTACTGTTCTGTTATCGGGACTGCAGTCGTCGCCAAGTGTTTTGCTAAACTCGCCAAGAGATTGGTTGATATGGAGTTGCCAATATTTACTTTAAAAATCTACTTTTTAAACTTCTACAATGTTTACTTTTTTTAAAGAAAGTAAAAGAATGCCTTTTCAAAATTGGCAACAAGAATACAAATTCTAAAGATTTAACAATCATTTATGTTTTTATTATTATTATTGTATTTATCATGGATATAAAAATTTGAGACTTATCTAAGGATGAAACATCTTCCATACAGTTTTTCAGGAAGGAGGAAATATTCACTCTGAAAGAAAGTGCATAAAGAACCATAAAATGAAGCTCTATTTCAATTGAAGGAAGTGCCGAAATGAAGATGTGACATGCCAGGGAAAAAAGGGTTACATTCTCAAAATTGGTTTGAAGGATCTAGTTCCAGTTTCTTAGCAAATCATTTCCTTTATGTATGCTGTTTAGAATTAACTTCCTTTGAATATTTTCATTATCAGCTTGATATGAATCATTCCACTGTTGTTGTGGTGGTGCATTATGTCTAGGCTATCAGTTAAAATAGGTGGCACTGGTAATTTTGAAGTTGATGAACATGCTTTCACCTCAAAAAAGAAAATGATCGTATCCTTCCACCCCAGTGGGTGTGAAGTGGTATTTGCCGAGGAGCAAAAGAATGTTTTTTTAGTTGCTGTGCCTGAGCACTTTGATGGAACTTTGCTTGAAGTTGTTGAAAGAAATATTATTGATGATACTATAATATATTTAGACTGTTCGAAAGGGTATAACATTCCAAAATTAAGAGAGGCCAGATTTTAACATTTCAGTGTTAACCAAAAATATAATTTTATCAATCCCGATACTGGTCGTCATACACAAACTATTGAAAGGTTATGTAGCTGTGCCAAATGACAAAATAAACGTTAAGGTGGCATTGATCATAACCAGTTATTCTTATCTAGTTGAGTAATGGTGGCAAAAGCATTCTAAAACACAAATGTTTTCAGACATTTTAAATTATGTCCACAATTTCATGCCTCCATGTTAATATTTATTTATTTATTTATTTATTTTATTTCTTTCCCAATTTGCTTAATTTGCGTTTAAAATTTCTAATTTTACAAATATCTGTTGTTATTCTTTTCCTTGGATTTTTCTTCAACTTAACCGTATCGTAAATATTTAGCCTGTTATTTTTATGCTTTGAATTTTTTGCCAGGTTGCCAGCTTTTGGCGATATCTGAATCTGGTTCTAATAACAGAACAGTACCAAAATAGTTCATTGTAATGAAGCATTTTGTTACCTATCATTTCATTTTAATATAAGCTACAGAATTTTATTTGCTGAATATGAGCTTACAGAAGCTGTAACTTTTTAGGTAAGCATTAAATATAGCTTGCAGAAATCTAAACTTTAAAATCAGTTTCATATTGATTACTATTTTGTTCTATTACTAGTCATTTTTTATGTCTGTATATTTTAGAATATTTTTGTGAGAAGTGAGTGATGTATTAAGATTATAGATACACTAAGGTTTCTCACCTGGGGGATTTTCATAGTTTCAGGATGGGGACCTGTGGTCAGCCTTTCATTTACTTGTTAAGTATTTAGTTTAAGTTTATGAATATAAAAAACTGCTTTTATTCAAGTTGTGGTATTTATCTGTTTGTGTAGTTCTTGTTTAGTTTATAAAACACATTAAAAATTTTATTTAAATTACCAAACATCAATGTATTTTTCAAGTTTTGGAAAGGGTGAGAATAATTGCTTAGCAATGATGAAAGGGATGCATAGAGCAAAAAAGGTTTAGAACCACTGGTATATACAGAGTATATCGCAAAGGCCTTACATAGCAAAATAACTCAATACAGATGGCTAGAGTTGTGCATACCTACAGTATAATGATCATCTTATGTCATTATTAGACTAGGTGCATTGTCTTTCGATGCAAAATGTAGATGTTAGCAATCTTATTACAGAAACTGTGATATGTAGCATAAAAAAGTCGATAGCAAACATGCAGAATGTCTCCGATGAATTAATGTCTTATATACATCAGTAATTTAATAAAAGCCTTGAAATATTCATCCCTCAGCATTTGATCACTGACTAAATATGTTACTAATGACATCACAAATCATAAAATCTTTTTTTAAGGAAATTTGCCTGCGAAACGGTGATGGATGATAGTGTTAATAATAACATGCAAATCAAAATACTATGTCAAACCTCATTTGAAAACATTAGTTTGTTGTCAAGTAAATTAATCAGACAGTATGTGGATTGTATCTTTAAGTGTAAACATGGCTGAATTACTCCATCAAGGAATACTGTGAGCTGTTACTCCTGTATAAGGAATGCATTTATTAAACCAGTGAAGCAGTAGAGAAAATGAATAGAAAGTAAAAAATTATATATAGAATTTTCTATTAGCTCAATGTAAAGTTCTATAGTCAAAAACCTAGATACTTGTGTTTGGTTTTAGCATTTGTAGCAGATGTATCTATGTTACAAAAGAACATCCCAAACAAACTAAATACTGAAGAAAAACCAAGAAAGCCCATAAGTTTCATAAAATAATAAGGAGTTAGGGCATCACTTTTGACCATGACCTTGTGATGTAGTGGTTTGGAAATCCAGCTGGCAGTTATGAATTTGGTTTGGAATTCCAGCTAGCAGTTAGGAAGGTATGATTCCCTCTCAAGTAATCAAAGTCTGTACAGTGGCATCTAACTAAATATGGTAATGTTTCATTACCTCCCTTACTTGACCCTCATTTTTGTCACCTCCTTCATTTGACCCACTACATGTTTATGCCTAACTGGTCAAATGTAGACATTTTTTATTGTGCTAGATGTGTTTTTTCTTGTAGTCACCTTTTAAATGTGGAAGATGTAAGGAATTGGGGCATCCTGTGTCTGCTCTTGTGGTGTAGTAATTTAACACATCTTTGGTTTGACAGTGTGGTGAGGGTGCAAATGATTTTTCATATTTCCCACTCCAAAATATGTATATAGTAAATATGTAATAGTAACAAATAGTGCAGAAAGTATGCAAATGATCCTACTGTATTTTTTTATATCAAACAGAACTTTCGTCAGTTATAAATGCAAAAAAATGTTTCCAGTTGAATTCATAATCTGCCTATATAGCATCTTTCCTTTTGTCTTTTTTTAAATTTCCATATATTTAACTTCATTCGCCTTCATCTTCCAGTACCATTTATGCAAATAGACTAATTCTTATCATTAGATCTGTGTGCAACTAGCTCAAATTTCTGTTAATCTTGTTCAAAATTATCTGGATGAGATATTTATCCATAACTTAAAGATAATTTTCAACTTAAATTGACAACAAATGCTTTAGAATCCAGTTGAAGCCATTTAAGTTTGAAATCTTTAATGGTCATATATAAAATAAACAAATGAAGACTATTTAACTGTAAATCTTAATGGCTTCTATTTTTATGCACAATATGCTGAAAAAAATAATGAAAATTAGTATTCTATATTTCTGCTACTAATCTTTCATTTACTGACCTCTTTAAATGCTTTCTCCTCGTGTTCCCAAGGAACTAAATCTCACTTATGCTTAATAAGAAGTTGACTGAACATGATCAACCCCTACCCCCCTCTAAATAAAAGTCATGGTACCAGAAAGCTGTAAAGAAGAATCAAGATGAATTTCATGCTTTATGCACAATATGCTGTATATTTACTTATTACATATTATGCTGTATGTATATTTACTAAAATTTACTGTTTTACTCTGCTTTTTTTAGTCCCTAGTAAAGTGAGACCTGTAAAATAATGAATATTTTCTGTTGAGTGGTTTTTGATTGTATTAAAATTTAATGTTGTGCTTGAATTCAGAAATTTTAAGAATATAATGTATTGTTATTGTGTTAGCAGATACAGCACAATACATGATTTTAATTAAAAATTACTAATCTCTCATAATCCCTGTCTTGTAAAATTAAGTGCGTGTTTATCATTTATAGTTATGTTAAAAGTGAGGCTTTAATTTAGGCTTCATATGAATGTGTCCTATCTTGGATTTTCAAAAATGTGCTATTGGAATGGTATATTTGGAGTTAATAACATAAAATATCCTGTTTAAAAAGGCATGTAAACATATACTCCTATGAAAAATTTCAGGGAATATTTTGTAAGGTTTGTGCTTCAGCTGTTGATTATTTGTGTGTGAGGAGGAGCTGGTCAGAAAAAACAGAAGTACAAAACAAATTTACAACCTATGGCTTTCATTAGTGGGAATGAAATTAATTTATTTAAGCTTCACTAACACTTCTTATTGGAATTTTCCTTAGATTAAATTTTTATATTTTCTGTGATACTGTGATTTTTTAGATTGCTGAAATGTTAATTTGTCTGTCACAAAAAATTAATAATGTAAGATAGATAATATTCTAGTTTATAATGTTTGAAACAGATCACTACTTTCTCTGAGATATAATGCATATTGTTCAAAATCTGCAGTCATTAAATTTTAAACTGTGAATCATCGATAATTAAGTCTTTTTAAAATTTGTAGGTTTTAACATCTTAAATATAGAAGAAAGAAAAACAAAAAGGTGTTGTTCATAAGGAAGATATTTTATAATACAAACCCATATGTAGTATTTTTGTAGCTGCTTACTGATGTATATAATATCTGTACAAGTGCATTTATGGCATATTTTCATATTTTTGTGATTTAATTTAAAAACTGTCTGATTTGTGTAATTTGAAATTTTACAATATTTTCTGTAGTTTTGTACCAACAATTGAACATGTTTATTTAAATAATAAGCAAAAGCAAATTTCTGTCACAAAGTGGTACGTATTTTATGTCTTCAGAATTCAGCTGCATTTATTAGCTGTAGAAGCTAGGTTAACTTAATGTTCTAATATTTTTTTATCTATACATTAATATTCAACCTAGTTACTTTCTTTTATTATTTCTTTATTATATATTTTTGACGAAAATCTCTTAAAGGAGGCATTTTGCAAATAAGCTGATTACATTGATGTAATGTAATGTAAAGTTTCACAGGTATCTGTTATAATTGAGTGTTTAATTTTAAACTGTGAATGATTAGAAGCAAAATGTTTTATTAATTGAATCTAGTCTACATTCAATAGGATCTATTTTTGATTCTATATAACATAATTTTTTAGTTCGTATTTTCGATATTCCATAAACATTTTGATGTTTTAAACTGATGGATCAATGGTTGGTATAAATATTTTATTTCTTGTATTTCTGTAATGTTCTTTTGTTTTTTTTTTTTTTTTTTTTTTTTTTTTTTTTTTTTTTTTTTTTTTTTTTTTTTTTTTTTTTTTAATTATTGTATTTACTAAATTACGTTTTACTCTTTTTAGTCCCTAGTAATGAGACGTAAATAATATTCTGTTGAATGGTTTTGATTGTATTAATTTATGTTTTTGATTGAAATTTAAGAATAATTATTGTTATTGTGTTTCTAAATATGTTCATTATGTTATTTTTTTATATATTGTAGTCACAGTAAGCTGTTTGTTAGCTTATTAAAATTTTTATACATTTATCTTAATCTTGCTATGTAAAGTTTATAAAAATATGGACTCTGCATATTTGGTTTGTAAATTTATTTTCAATGAAGTATTTTTTGAATTGTTCTCCCAAAGAATAATTTCAGTAATTATGATTTTCATTGCATATTTGTATGTATGTTCAGTGTTAATTTTGTTTTACATTGATTAAAAAATATATTTCGTTTTTATTTTCATTTTGCTTGCTATCTTTTCTCATTTTGCTGTTCTTTTCTTCTGTTTTTCATTATTGCTGTTATTACATCTGAATGTATACAATTTTACTTGGAGTTAGTTTTTTACAGTTTCTCTGTTTTGGTTTATATTGCAAATTTTGCTGAGTGCACTAGTAAAAACATTTATTACAGCTATGTAATAACTAAGAAGTGCATATTTTAATTTGGTGACTGATATTTTTTTAATTATTGAGTATTTATTTATGAATTTAGAATATATTAGTATTTGAGAAAGTATATTTTTGATGCTTGAAAATAAATTTCTGGCATTTTTCTCTTTTGTTATGCATATTTTGCTTATTTTACCAAAAGCATAATTAGAGATGTTGCCAAAAGATGCTTTAAGCATTTTTTTATGGCTGACCTTATTCTGAGCATTTTGCCTTATTGAAAATTTATGAAAGGAAATACAAAAGATTAATAGTGATTTTTTTAAAGGGGATGTTGTGCATAAAAATCTGTAAATCTTTATAAAATTAGGGAACGTTTCAAATCTTCATAAAGAAAGAGATGAAAATTTACTGAGTTGAGAGAAAATCTGCATTAATAGGTATATCAGTTAATTGTTAAAATAATGTCAAAGGTAAGTTTCTTACCTGAATATGATACAAATTGTCATATATGTTGTGTTACAAAGAACACCTTTTCATGAAATATGAATAATACTCAGGGCTGCGACTAGATTTTTTTTCCACCTGGTGCAAATTCTGGTGCTCTATTTCTTCCTAAATGCTAAAAGTTTCAAAGTCTCTAAATTGCGCTGGCTGTTGCAGTTGCATAGGCTGCACCAGCCCTGATGGTACTGTACTAAAATGTTCAAACTGAATACTATTGTGTTCCATCATATATGTAAATCATCTGCTTTCTGAATAGAAGGCTTATTGTGCTGGCTTTATAAAGGAAAGGTAAATGTGTTATTTGCTCAGATGTAATGCTGAGCGAGTTGTGCAGCTTACTATTGCCAAAAAAATTTGTTTGTTTTACTCAGGGCAATATATAACTTTCTAGCATGATATGACACTTGCAGATGTATTTGTTATTTGAAATTAATATTTTTATGTAGATTAGGGAATGCAGCCTTCTCTCTTCAGTGAGAGGTGATGATTTTACTGAAATTCTAAATTGTGCTTTTTTAGAATCAGTATTTTACTTTATTATTATTTTAAGTTCTTAAAATGTTTATGTTAAAAAAAGAAGAAATTTATAATCTAATTTATAATTTCAATATTTCTTAAGAAAAGTTGTAGCCCCTTTTTGAGTGGAGGGGGGTGGTCTAAAAACAGATTATTGTGGTGTATGTTTCTTCTTTTAAAATATTAATTTCTATATTGGTTTAAAATAATGGAAGAATCTTCCCTGTTTTGTTAGGGGAATGTTAGCTGTCTAGTGCCTCCATAACTTTTATGTCTTAACAGATTCAGTCTGCAAGGATTCTTTTTAAGTTTGGGATGTTGTTCATTTCTTAATGAAACATTTGATCTGATATTCTATCCTTGTTAGAAATGTTGAATATCTGTCACAAGATTCTAAGACCATTGTTTGCGTATACATGTATTACTTGTAAATATGCTTTTTATAGAACTATATCTTGTTCTAGAGATATATTTTTCATAATTTAAGAAATACATTATGTTGATCAGTTTTGTAAGTTATATTTTCAGTGAGCTTTTAAAATTGTGCTGTACTATTGTATAGATTTGCAAAGAAAATAAAATATTTTATGACTTTTTCCGTAATATTTTATAATTTCCTTTCTGTGGTTGTGTCATGAGAAGAAACTGTATTCTGTGGAACATAAATTTTCTTCCAAGATGTATGCATTTTTATCTTTATATATATATATATATATAGTGCATATGCAGGTTTGAAAAAAAAAAGCAGTTGAAAAACGACTTTATTTACAGGATACTTTCTTTTTAGATCACATATTAAAATAATTCCAGTTGCACTCAAACATGTAAGAGATGCATGTCTGCTTTAAAATAGCATATCAGCCTTCGTAAGTGATACTTAGTGCAGTGCAAAAGTGTAGCAAAGTGTGCTACATTAAGTGTATTAAAGTGTACCTTTTGGTAAAATTAAATCACAGTTGTCACTGTCTGTGCAGAAAATGTACGCCTCTATTTTTGGTAACATTAAATAACAGTTGTCGCTGTCTATGCACGAAATGTGCGTTTCTGTCTCTCTCTCTCTCTTTTTTTTTTTAAACGTTAAACTTTACATTTGACAATACTTTTTTGTGTGTTTCATTGTTTGCATATGACTTGTTATATATTCTTTTTTCCCAAATTCGACAGACTGCCTGCAATCTGTTCTAAAGGAATTTTTTTAAGACCACATAATTAAAAGTTTCAATAACTTTCGATATTATTTCCAAATTTAATTCTTCCATTTGTTTGTTTGTTTCATTCCCAGGCATCTTAATCCAAAATTAGAAGATTAAAAAAAATCAATAAAAACCATATGCATACACACAGTTGACCCTTAGCACCAAAATAAACTTGGTCGACTGGAATAATATCAAAAATAGAAGAAATGTGCATTGGCATCCTGTAAAATTCCCCCCCCCTAAAGTTTTTCTACCCAAAAAAGTGGGAAATAAGTGGAAACAGTTTAGGAATTGAGTGCAGATTCATAATTTCCAGATGAAACTTTTAAAATACACAACACTGACAAAAACAGTAATAATGATCAGAAATATTTAACTAAGTTATTTTGTATAAAATAATTAAATATTTTAGGCACTTATTGTTATCCCAAGTTGCATTTCCATCACAATAATTTCTGTTTACATCTCTAATTACATTTTATAATGCTTCCTTTTTTTTAGAAAAATGTTTTGGGGGGAGGTCCTTGTAAAAGGGACGTTTCTGGTGACAACTGTATGAATTTTTCTTTTGATCTTTCTACATATAAATTTTGCTGGCATAATCAGTATAGTAATTTGCCATATGTCATACCAATCTGCTGATCTTCGAATCCCAGAGAAGGCATGGGGGCACTCAAAATAATGGTGAGCCAAAAATCCTCTTTGAGTGATGTGGGAGATCTCGGACCATTCTCCATCAGTATTGGGGCAGAGCTGCACAGTTCGTTGAGCAGAACTATACCAATTCAACCAGTTATGAAATTTTACCTATATATAAATTTCACTGGGTGCATTCCCTTCACATTAACATATAAGTATTTAATAAACATTTTCAAGCAAGTATAGTTTACAGAACTTGTCACGGACAGAGCCAGAAGCTACAGCTGCTTTTCAAGAGTGGTAATTTTCTTAAAACAACCCCTCAACAAAAAGCTATACCACATAAAGTTACACAAAGAAAACGAAGGACATTTGCATGTAATTCGTTTGAAACAGAGATTCCTAGCTACTATATTGTTTATATTCACTTTTGATTCTTTCTGAAAAAAATTATCGCCAGGAAAATATGAACTTCTGAATGATAAGTAATGCACTTCAGTTTTATAGCAAAATTAAACATTTTATTTGTCATTTTAATGTATATTGGATGGTTTTAGAGAGTTTTCATTTTGAAGAATGTAATAATTATTGGAACCAGTGTTTGTTTATGCTTTTAAGGTATAATGGTTGGTCATTTTCCATCATCACCACAAGAAGGATATATACATGTAGTAATTTCAAAACAGATAGGTGTTGAAGTGTATGTAGAATCAGTTATGGCAGTTAAATATTTCTTTTATTATTTTTTTAGTTCACACACATTCCTAAGTGAAGATAAATAACAGCACTATAGCATATGTTTTTGAAGTATTAAATTGGTACCGTAATGTAGTTAAAATCTAATTCTGAGAGCAGCAAGTTGACAGAGGCAAGATAGAAAAGCAATTTTGTAAACCTCTGTGGAGGGAGAATTTTGGTTTAGTCTTCTCGTTTTGATAAGCTTTGATATTGGTTGGTTGATTTCAGTTTACAATATGTAAAGAATGGAAAGGCAAAATATTCAAATTAAAATAGAAAAATACTACTGCAAATGAAATTTAATATTTTTCTGTACATAGCCCCCCTTTGAAAAGAAAAAGGCTTAGTGACAAAAAGCGTTGAAACAGTAAGAAATTAAAAGAAATATCAATCATAGAATTTTAGCCAAAGTAATCTTTTAAATAATTGCAAAATATAAATTTTGACTACAGCATTTTGAAAATAAATGCAATTTTTAGAGTCCTATTTATACTTTAGTCTGTTTCTGCAAAAACATGGCAGCTATTTTTAAAATGTTCCAGTTCCTACAAACTTCAATGTTTCAGTATTCAGTCCAGTTAGAAAATGTTCTTGTTTTCAGAGTCCACATAATCATAATTATTCTGAGAAGGTTTTTCAAGAACTTTTCTCTCAGAATAGCATATTTACTCACAATTTTATGCACCCATTAACATCTTTATAATTATAGCAAATATCCAAATTTATAACACTAATTTTCATATTGG